AGAAGGTGCTCTGTGTAAAACAAAGTCACTTGTTCCACTGCACTAACTTCTGTACTTAACATTTCGCTATATACCAATGGGATCTGCCTTGCATTTTTAAAACTCCTAAGCTAGGGTAGTCCTTAATCAAAGCAAAATGCTATGAACTGGAACGTGCACTCATTACTCCAGACATCATTTTTCTATAGTAAAAGGGGAAAAAGAAAAAAAAAACAACACCAAAATCCACTAAAAAGCACCCTTAAAATAGCAACCAGATTTATCCTTGGAAAGAAGGAGATGAGGCTCACTGTATTTATTTAGTTTCTGGGCAGTCCAGGTTTATAGCATTCAGCCAGCCTCTTGTCAGTGATTGTGCGGTGGAAGCCATGAAGCCCAGAGCCCCGACCATAACAAGCTTACATAAAAGATTTTAACCTTAGCCGGTTTTTATAGAGTTTTTCCCCTTGTTCTGCCTCCTTCTGTAGCTGAAGCTCTTTTTCTTGAAGCTGCTGCTGCCGCAATAGTTGTGTTCGCAGTCTTTGCTGGTGCAGCGATTCCTGATGTTCTCTAAGCTGGTCAGCCTCCTCCGCTCTTTGGGCTGCAAGGTGCTGCTGCTCCAGCTGTTGCTCATAGGCTGCCTTATATCTTTTTGTTACAGCTTTTGTTGGTGTTATCTGTCAGAGAAATGGTTTAGTCATAGTTTAATCTTAGATTCAATGATCAAAAGCAAGCATGCAGAAACCTATAGCACCAAAAAGAAGAAGGAAAGTTATGCTGATGCTACATGCAATTGAGAAAATTACAGAAAAGATTTTTTGTTTAATTTTGTCTTTGTTTAAATTTATATTAATTTTTCACTACACAGACCTTGGAAGTTTCGGTGTGTTTGTGGAGAACACAGCTAAGGGGGTAACAGACCTGGGGAAGCCATGAATTTCTTACAGGTTAATGAAGAACCCAACATATTACCTGATAAAAAAAAGCTTTGAGGGCTGGCAATAAAGACAGTAAATAGGCTTCCGTTATGGGTAGATTCAGTAGGGGCTGCTGTGAGGTAGTTAAGTGAGACGCTGCACATTCTTTACAGCCAAATTGTAAGCCCTCTTTCACAGCTTAACCTATCGCTGTTGTTCTAATCCGCTGCACCTGTTCAGCAATGACTTCTCATCCCTTTGGAGTTGCACAGTTAATCTGCTAGGAGAGTAAGTGTTTACAAGGTCTAAAGTGAGATCAGTAAAACATATTTTCCATTGGAGATCCGATCCGGAACGTAAATCCACATTTCAATGGTTTTATTTAGAGCTGCACAGAGCAAGACTTGCCACTGCTCTGCACTGGTTTTCCCTGACTATTTTAGTCACATTCATCTTGTTGTTAAAAAACCCTGTAAAATGACAGTGAATCCTCAGATGGAAGCGTTTACAGAAAGCAGGTATACCTGAAAAGGAAACTGCAATTTGCTGAGATGCCTCAAGTTAGTAAGGTGGGACACCTCCTCACCAAAGTGCTGAACAGAAGTCCTTTCCAGCTCAGGATATTCTATGATTTGTGCTCATCACCTGTCTTCCTTCCATCAGCTACCACAGGCCTCAAATCTAAAGTGGGAGATAGGATTCAACCTGACAGCTCTTTTCTTCCATCTGTTGCTTTTTATCAGCAGAATTAATGTTCATTAAGCTGCACTTGGCAAACAGAGCAGTGAGCATGTGCTAAAGTTGAGCCTGAATCCTACGCATCTAAGTGCTTTGAATCCCAAATTTTCTATAAATATGACATTAGTTTTACCTAAAAACAGGTGAGTGCTCTGAATCCCAACAGCTGAGTGCGATATAGGGCCAGCAACGATAAGAGATGCCTCCATTTCAACAGCAAATCTAATCAATTAGTAGGAAAAAGTTCTCCATACCTCTGACTGCGAACGTTCACCCAACATGTTGGTTTCTTCTTCCTTCTGTTCCTGTTTCTTCCACTCATGTTCTTCTGGTACTTGATCCTGTTCCTCTTCTAAGTGCTCAGGCTGACCTGCCTGCTCCATTTCTTCCTCCTCAAGTTCTTTTTTGCGTTCCTCTTCAACTTGATCAACACGTTGCTCATCATCCTCTCCAGCTTCTTGTTGCTCCTGAATGTTGAGTTCTTTGGCATGATGGCCCTCATTAGGCCTTCTTTGTAGATGAAAAGGCTCAGCTCTGTCTTCTCTTTCCTGGGTATTTATTTCTTCTCTCTCTTTTGGTTTCTCATCCTGAAAAACACGCAAAAGACATTAAGGATTTCATATTTTCAAGAGAGCTATAGACCAGATATGGATACCTTTAATCCAGCCTGCAGTAGCGAATCTGTAGTCAGGAGAGCCAAGTGCCTGCCTCAGAACAAACTACCCTTCCTGCCAAGAGGGATGAGTACCCGGCTCCTGGCTCTACATAGCTAAACAACTTGTTGCACAATAGCATCGTAAAAGCAGTTTAAGCCTCACTTTATTCTGAGGTGGAACAAACTATTACCATTTTGCATCTAAAAAGAATGCTGTGTTTTTATTTCCTGTAGGTTCTGCCAGTCAATAACTCTAGTAAAACAAAAACACAACTGGTATTTTAACCTGTAGACTTTACCCACATCTTTGCCTTTTTTATCTTTGAGCATCAGGTAGTATGTCAATTTTAACTATACTGACTTCAAGTGTGCCACTGAAACCTTATGAAATGCATGAAAAGACAATTTCTTCAGAACTAAGCTAAAGCTTTTTATAACACATGAAATATCTAAAATGTTATGGACAACATATTATTAAACTTCGTATTTTTAGCAACTTCTGAAAACAGCTTACATAAAACAGTTTTAAAGGCCTTTGTACGTCATCTTGACCATAGTTTTCTACTACTCAATCAAATTAAACTGTTCCTAACTACCTTATTCAAGAAGTGACAAACACGTATAATTATCCACACGCTTCTAAGGGAAGCTGAGCACACAGCTAGTGTTTTGCTGAATGAGAACTATTTCCTACAGCTCCAGTCAGTGCTGCGTACCTCCTTAGGCTCTTCAGCCACAGCTTCGTGGTGTACTGGGAGGCTGCTGTGGGGAGACGGTGCCCGCACCTCTGGTTGCTCATTTGGTTGTTCCAACTTCTCAGGCTGCCGGAAACTTGGCATTTTGTTTAGTGTGTCCTTCAGCTGTTTGTATTCCTCCACCTGGGACTAAAGTCAACACATTAATTACACCGTGTCCCGATCAACAAAAACCAATAAAAGTGTTTTAATAAAACAGTCACCCCTGAGTGAACTTGCTGGCAAGACGTATGCTAGAACAACTCGATATTCACATCAGAGCAAAGACTGGGGAGGAGCAGGGATGAGAGTTTTTGAGATCGGTTGTTTCCATGCGCTAAACAGCATTGACTCACCACGATCTTTTCAGCCAAAGTGCACATGCATACAAAGATACTGGAAAAATCCCCATGGGACAAAGACAAAGATTGTTTTTTTCATGCCAAGCAGGAGAATTTTCAGAAGAGGATGATTCAGTTTTCTTGGAAGACTAAAGCGAGGGAAATTGAGAGCACCACAACTTCTTTACTGGTAGAAAGCATTGCCGTTTTTTTGGAACCAGGAGTTTATATACACATCGTGAAAACGCCAACTCCACAACATTTAGGCAGGTGTTATAAAAGACAACAGTCAAGGTACGGAACTGAGGCAAAGAAAGTCACAGAACACCTTTGGTGAAGAGCAAGAAACAAAGGAAAAGAAAAAAAAAAAACTATGACAACATGTAAATTTGTCTTCCTAAAATGCAACAGTAGGATGTTGTATTTTGGTTTGCAGCTTAACTCTGTACAAGATCAGAGTATTTTCAACAAGCTTTAAAGTCCAGTGTGAGAAGCAAGACCAGCTGGCACACCAGTCACTGTCTATACAGCAGAGAATAGAGTAAAAATGTTGAGGCATAAGACTTATAAAAGCTGACCAACAAGAGGTGGTGCCCCATGACAGGGCTTCTCTGTTGCTCCAGGGGAGGTGGTGGGAGTGTTTACTGTTCTGAAGTCAGAGGTGCTTTTCGTAAGTCATTTAAGGGTTTGGGTTAGAACCATTACACTTTATACTCAGCACTGTGTGTGCCACTTCATGTGTGTTACGTGGTATCATAGCAATCAATAGTACAGCAGACAGGCACGATGCATTGATGTACAATGCATGATACTCATACGAAACAATATCCACAGTGCTACGGATTGACATGATGCAATGCATAACAGCTCTCAAGCTAGACGCACCTCGAGGCATCTTCAAAAGACTATGGCATCCATTAAAACGGATGGGCCTAAAAGCAAAGCAAAGCAGAGTTCAAAGTAATTACACTCATCATTCCAGAAGGGCACTGCTGTTCCCTGATTAGCTGCTGGAGAGTCCAGTAAGAAACTTTTGAGTAAAAAACAGTATTTATTCAGCCATAGGCTAATACAGAGATCTTTGTTTTTTCTCCCCACTCACTGACCATGCAGAGAGACTTAATACACATGGATATTTAAACTGTGCACGTCTAGAATCGAAGTACTCCACCCCACCATACAAATCATTCTAAGCTGAACATTGTGATCCAAGGCCACAGCCTAAAAGGTATTAATGCTGGCAGACAGACGGGGTTTGTAAAAATATATGAAGGATCTGTCTGGCTGTTTGAGCTATGGGAAAGGACAAAGATCACAAAGTCTTAAAGATTCAGGTCACAAATACATTAGTGCTGGGTTGACTACTGATATTTTATGTCTAGAATATACCTAGAAACAGCGGGGTAATTTACAGAGCTGTGTTTCTAAGCAATAATCCCCCGTGAACTTTCTGTAGCTAGTTTGCAGGAGAAACTGCGTGACTGTGCTGAACACCTTCTGTTCTGAAAGGCTCCACAAGCTCCTCCACTCGAACAAAGGCTCTCCATGAGAAATGCCACATTCTGATTGCAGACAGGAAGGCTGTGTGAGACACAGGTGTTCAAAATAAAGAACTGAATAAAAGCCAGAATTAAGAGGAGCCTCCCTTTGGCTTTGGTGGACCTTAAGTCAGACCTTCAATCTGCTCTGGGTGAGTTTCTGATATAAGCAAATATGTACCACATAACTAATAGGGCCAGGGCATGAAGAGGTTACAATTAGCTTCCAGTATGTTTTAGCACTGGAAATTAAGAATCTTTGCATGTTTATTCTCTGAGTGACTTTCCCGGTCTTTCCCTATTGCTTGAATATCTACGTGTGACGCATAAAACAAGCAGAACTCAAATTCAGTCCTTTTAGTGCTACTCATGGTTTTTTGGACCTTGAAAAACACTCAAATGAAGAAAATTAGTCAGGAATAAGAGTATCTTCATTCTACCTCATTACCTTCTCTCTGATCTTTCACTGAAGTCTTCCTTGCTCAAAATTACCTTCTTTACTCCTAATTTCCAATTCCCTGTGACCTACACAGGTGGTACAGCTGACTGAATTTGCCACAGCCTAGCAAAGTTTGTGCTACATGGAGAGGTCATTTGAAATTGGCATTTAAGACACTGCTGCTGATTTATTTTTTAAACAAAAACCTAATTTGGGTTTCATATGGAGCTTGCATACTTTGGTATATACCTGACCCCTGTAGCATTGATGTATATAGCTTTCTAAACATTCTAGTTGTACACAAAAATGAAACTTTGAAATATCAATAAATCTACATTTTAAAAGTGATACAAGTGAATGTCAGAAAGTGAAACATTAAACTAACAGAAGCTCTATCAGAGAAGACAGAGAAAGGTATTCTACAGCTCTCGTGAATGCAGAGGTACTTTTCTAACCAGTAATACATGCACTCTTGGGCTTACAAACAGAGCTTTGTGTTTTCTGACAGCCATATAAGCTGTTGCAGCTTCTTCTTAAAAGCAACCTCTTAACTCATGCAGTTCTCTGCAGTGTGCAGCATGGTGCTACCTGCAAATTCCCCATGCGAAAGGCTACATGCAGAACATTACAGTCAGCTGAACTAGGAGAAAGGAGTTTTAAGGAAGGTTAGAACTACTACAAGCTGCTTTCCTTTCTGACCTGTGCAGCAGCTAGTGCACTCTTGTGGTCTTCCAATGTCACTACAAGCTGGTTGTGCTGGGAGAGTAAATTCTTATGCTGTTGCTACACAAAAAAAAGAACATAACATGTTTCACAAAGTTCATTCTAAAGGTAAATTAGGTAGCCTGGGGGGTTCTGAGCTAAGAAGATAATTCAGTGTATTCTAAAATGAAAACACTGAGTTGGCATAACAGCATTTATTTATTTAACCTGGAATGCATATTAAGCACAGAGAAAGTGAGCGGTGCCAGGAAAGAAAATCTGAAGGCCAGAATTTATGCCACTAAAAATTGGAGTCGATTTCAATAAATGCTTGATAAAATAGAGCTGGGAAACGTTCTTTTTGGCAAACACACAGTTCATTACTTACAAAGTCACATTTCCAATTCCAATTTCTATACTAAATACTTCTCTTCCAATTTAGTCTTTTTTAGTTCATTATTTTAAATGAGCATGTTCCTTAAATGCTGGTGGCAGAAGACAAATCCAGTTCAGCTATATTCTTTTGCCACAGTAGAGAAACTACAACTCTTTGTTATTGCCCATTTCTGGCTTGTTAGAACTTGGAAAATCTGTTCTTATTGCCAATTGTTTTGACAGTTCTCCTTCAAAACAAAGCCTACCTTTACATCTTGTAACTGGGTATGAATGTCTTGGTGAGCTTTTCTCAACTGTCTGTTCTCCTCCCGTAAATTATACAGGGATTCTGTTTAAAAGAAACAAAATACAGAGGTTAAGCCCAGATTTATAATACTAAAGCACTGTAACATTAACTACAATTAATTCTACACAATTCCTGTAGTAACTCTGGATTAGAGTAATTGTAGGATTTGCTTACCTTACATCTCCCCCCCACCCTGTAAAGAACTTTACATTTTTAAGCAGAAAACTTAATAGTTGGTTAAATTTCATTTTGGTGCACCCACTGTGCAACTGGAACTATGCATTACTGTTCATTCTAGGGTCTGCAGATGGCAAAATTCATTATGGTAATCTGAATCTTTAAAATGCAGAGAGGAAGACACCCTCTGCTCTTCCCTCTTCCCCCACATTGCATCTGGTGAGTGAGAGTTTTGTTCTGTAGGACTACGCTATTATTTTGGAAAAGGTGCCCAGATGGCCAGCATCCTTAAGCAGCACTACATTCTGGGACCAGGGAGAGGGGCTTTTCTTCCCACTTGTTACATTATGGTGATGTGGAATACTGCAAGCAGACACAAGCAAGCTCTACCGACACGCCAAGCTGCTAGGCTGCAATCCAGCTCAGTCCAAGAGCTCGCTGTATGACTTCGCTGGTGTGGTGCCAAGGCAGAACTAATGAACACAGCCTCTGCCTGCAAAATACTGTGCAGACAAAACTGCAGACAGCTCCAAAACCAACTCGTGTTAGTGACACATGGCAGAAAGCAGCCAAAGGCCCTTGATGGGGAATGCCTCATCCTTTTGTTCTATGCTATTGTATTATTAGGATTGAAAAGTTCTGCGAACTGCAATAAATCTCTGTAATAGGAAGCTGGATGCTAAGAGTAAAAAAAAAAAAAAATAAAAAAAATTACTAATTCATCCCCCAAGTATACAGGTGCAACACGTTTCAGAGGAGCTGAGAAAGAGAAAATTAGGTCTATGAGAAACAAATTCTGTAAATTATCTTCATAAAAAGGCACATTTAGGTCTCTGATAGAAATGACAAAAACTCTTTACCTTTTTTGGTAGACAAAAGGCAAAGAGGGAAACCTATTTCTCCAGCTTTTATATGAATTTTAGAGCTAAAAATGAATGGTAGGATAAACCAGCCTCTGACACTTGATGGGCTTTTAAATGATCTATTTCTTACTACTTCCCTAATCTAGACAGAAACAGAAAACACAAATATGAAAAGCTTTCAGAAAGAGGCCATGGAAAATCATCAAGGAAGTGTAACTTATCATAGGCACAGGCTGTGCATGAATGACCTGTTAGTGAGAACAGAGACACCGCCTTTGTGTCACATCACACAAAACACGATGACAGACACACGCTTTAATATGGACAGCCAGAACATACCCTTCAGCTTAGAGATCTCCTGCTCCTTTTCCTGCTGCAGTTGTAAATATCTCTCCTTGTGATCACTGAATGTTCTGCTAAACTCTTCTCCTTGTTTTCGGTGATCTTCCTCAAGGTCAGCATGCTGTTTCTTTAGTTCTTCATGTTGACTCTGCAAATACCAAGTTGGACACCGGAACAGTTCTGTATTAGCATATCCGCCTAATATTGTCTTTGGCAATTTATTTAATAAGTCCAGATGAATACGAAGCTTTCATAAAAGGAAGCTTATTATTCAAAGCATGCACACTGCAGATCCTTTCAAACACAAAATGATCTCTGTGATGAGTAGTCTCCTTTTCTAGGGCTACGTCACCTCACTCAGCAGTTGCACTGTCCCACGGGGAGCTGCTTAATGTGTCTAAGAAATTCCTTAGATGCCAAAATATGTGAAGTTTGATTAGTCACTGCTCCATGCAAGTAATTGCATTTGAGAAGATTAAATTATCCACTGGAAAGCCTGACTAGTGAAAACCGCAATAAATCATCTTTCAACAGTACTATTGCATGAGGAAGGCACTGTCAATGTATTGATGCTCTGGAATGAATTTCCAGAAGCCACTGAGGCCATGCACCCTTCGAACTGCAGGATACCAGTGTCCTGTGACACCGGTTACCTCAGTCACCTACCTTCAACATCTGGTGTTGTACACTCAGTGCACTGTATCGGCTGTTTGAGTCTTGCTGTAAAAAGAAAACAAAACGGTGTTCATCAGAACAATATTGTCATTCTTCTAACCTCCGTACATGCTTATTTAGAAGTCACAAGCCAATGGACGTAACTTCACAGGAAACAATTAAGCTCTCCACTTGTTTTGACCATAGCAAGTATACATATTTTGCACTTGCTGCAGCAGCTGTGTAGTTGTAACGTACCTAACTCAGCTCACAAAGTCTTCCCACTTTCAACCTGAAGTGTCCATAAAATACTAGCTTATTCTCTTCTTTATAAAGAGTTCTCTACAGGTCTCTGGGTCCTTTACCACACACATCCTTCTTTCTAGCACTTGGTATCTAAAACAGGTTCATGATTTACTTATTTTTATACTTTTCAGTTCAAAGACCACTTGTTAGAAAGTTGTCACTGTCCTTTTCCCTGCAGACTAAGCAATGAAAAGATTTCCAACGCCTTCTCATTGGCCTGTGCACTTAAAAATAAAAATGTTTGAACGCCAATAATATACACAGGAGGATATGATATTTCCTAAATTAATTTTCTGGAAAGATATTATCTCTTATAAAGTAAGAAGTAAAAATAATTAAGAACAGCAGAGCAGAAATGGAGTGAGAGCTCCTTCAATTAGCACTTGTGAGACCTCTTTCTTTGAACAGCTATAATTGCAAAGCACTTCCTTGTTCTTGCAGTTCAAATAGCATCAAATATTAGCAAAATATTAAAAGCTGGTACTAGGAATGATGAGACTTACCCTTCCTTTATTTAGTGTTTCCTGTGCTTCTAGTTTATAAACAAGAAAATCTAAAACATAAAAGGAAAAATACTGATGGAAAAAAAAAAAACAACATCCATACTTAAATAGCATAACCGTCTGTACATAATTTCTCTTAAGAGCTGAATACTTATGCAGTTACAATTTTCCAAGAGATCTTCAAGAACAGAGGAACTTTAAAAAAACGTTCAAGTTTTGCCCAAATATTTTCATTCAGAAAAAAGGTCATAAATAACAATGTATTATAAATCTTTGTGTGAGATATAGGGGATATAGACTACAAGGCTCACATATAGGCTCAAGACTATGGACTTGACTAAGCAATTATCACATACTACATGAGCTTTCTCAGTAGAGGCACAGTAGCATCATTCAAAAGGAACAGGACATTTATAAATCGTGCATATTTGTATTACAACAAAGATCCGTACTTTAAAAAGTTAGGAAGTCAAGACTAAATTGAAGTACAACAAAAATCTCCTCTTTTCGCTTCTTTTCAGGATTTAAAAATGACGACTCACCTTTGCATACCTATGAGGCAGCTGTCCACCAGATGGCACCAGACAGCTATCAGGAGCTGCACACTAAGAGGTTTGTGGTTTTTTTTTTTTTTTTTTAAATGCTCTTAACCTTCGCTAAAGTAGTTATTTGAATGCAGTGGCTGAGTCATCGGTTTTAGGAATAATGCAGACTTCACTTCGAGAATTACAGTGAATTTACAACTACAAAAGACTCAGAGAAAACTCAAACTTCTGCATTCTGCTAAAGTTTTGTTGAGGGCAGATGTTAAGAAAAAAAAGTAAGAAATAAAATGTGTGAACATTTCTCCATCGCACACATCAAGAACTTAATTTTAAATCAGAAAAAGGTATGCAAGCATGTGTTTACCTTTAAGTAAATCAGAGTGAATCAATTTAACTGAATCAGTCTAATTTCACATTGGAATGCAGGAAAAGATCCTATGTTTTTGTTGCAAGGTTTAAAACTTTGTTATGCTGTAACAGGATTTACACATGCCAATACTCCACATACATTTTTGTTGTAGGTATACCCATATACATGTTTCCTGCGCATACTGTGCCACGTTGTAGTGATCTAAAGCACTAAAAATGTATTCCACAGATCTGCCAAGGTGGTCCTCCTGATGTGTTGTTTTTTAAATATATTGACAATTCATTTAAAACTGAACAATAAACATCTAAAGTTACTATTTTTAATAGTCAATTTATCATAGATATCAAGGTGAAACTCATATTTTACCTTCTTTTGCTTTCTTATGTTCAAGCCTTTCTTTTTGCAATGATTTTTCTAATCTTGATCTGTGTTCATATACAACTGAAAAGACAGATTTTATACACAGTTAATTTTAAAACCAGGATATTAAAAAATATATAAAAGTCCCCATCTCCCAGAACACCCAAAGAAAAAAAAAACATACCCAGAAAATACAAGTGGAATGAGGTCGTAAGGTTAAGGACTGCTTACATCTTTTTTTATTTTTATTTTTGCATGTGATATTGGTCCTGAATTTTTTGTTATTTCTATTGCATTACAGATTACAGTTACTGCATTCCATCCTTGGTGGAGAGTCAGCTATGGTTGTTCTACATGAAACCTACCGAATCATCGTTCCTTCTAGGGTATGTACATACACATTTTTCCATGCTTTCCTCATCTTCTGCCTTTTTTGTAGAGACAGAAGATAAAGCAGGAAGAACAAAATAAGCCATCTGAGGGGCTAGCATAGCTAAAATAATAATAATAATAAAAACAAAAACACATCCCATGACACTTCTCTGTAAGGCTTGGGTATCAGAGACTGCTAGTCATGGATCATTTCAGTTTGAGAACAAAATCTAATCTTCACTGATTCTTAACTCCATTTATGCATTTCCTTTGAGTCAAACTACCCATACGATATTCTGGAGATGAAGAAGTGGTCTGCGTGCAGTGCTTCGGGCAAAGAGCAACAAGTCGAGCTTAAAGGCAAAGCTTTCAGAGCACATCCCACAAAACCCTTGACAGGCAAGGCAGGCATGCACGGTGCCTGCATCTCCTCCACAGGGGGCATCTGCTAAGAAAAATTGCATGTGTTCTCTGGGAAAGGTGTCCCGATGTCTTTGATAAGCTCTTTTAAAGCCAAGATTGTGTGAACACCTGCATGTAATCCGGATAAAAATGAATTGACATCTAGTTTTACCTGCCAAAAGGATTTTGCTTTTAAGAATTTGTTTGTTGTACCCACATGTACTTTGGACGTGCTGTATCCCCTGGCAGAGGGTTCCACCACTTTGGTACACGTTGAGCAGCTTTTCAGGCAGCACATGCTTTGGACAGTGAGTTTTGGATGTGTCTCAACAGACAGTGAACATCAGACCCTATTTACCCTTTCCTCACCACTCACTAGACAGAGAAGGATCACTATCTGAAATAGCTGACTTTGCAGCAACAATATTAATTAGATCTCATAAATTCACAATTGGATTTGCTAAAGCTCGGTTTGACACCAGCACCTTTCACTGTTTGAATTTTAATTTGCACTCTTGCACCAAAGAGTAGTTACACAAATTAAAGGAACTTGATTTTTTCCTTCAAAACTAGGAAATATGTTCTCTGAAAATCAAACCATTGGTGTGCATACGCCTTCAACAGGAAGTCTCAAAGATTAGTATCTTGGCAGCCACAGAAAACTCCTCTTGCACCTTACAAAGCATTCTTAATTCCCCCAAGCTTCGTTCTGCAGGCTCTTTAGCTACTGGCTTATCTCGAAATGTTTACAGTTTGGCTTAGGTGACAAGGATTGATTAGCAATCCCGCCTCTATCCCTGCTTTGCCATTTATCATCTGAAGTCAAGGGCATCAGTCAAGATGAACTAATGTATCAACATCCTCTGCAACAAAACAGGCATTTAATGAACACTCACAAAGTCGCCAGCAAGTTTCCAGAGAAGAAGAAAAGATGGCAGCACTACAGTAATGGTTTTATCTAGGCACCAAAGATGGTGAATGCTGAATCACATTGCAACAGGAGCAGCGGTTGTAGCATAGCAACTCAGGAGAGAAATGAAAATCCATAATGGTTTTCCCCTCCCACGCCATTAGGAGTGGAAATAGGCTTTTTGGCAAGCAGACTGAGCCACAAACGGATTCTGAGGTAACGTTTCTTGTTGCACTTCTTTGTCCGCAGGCGACCTTCTGCAGCTCCTCCTGGTGTTTTGAGTGGGGAACTCACACCAAAGCCATCACGGTAAGGGCCGGAAGAAAGGAGAAGAGGAATGCGATGCTTAACTTTCAAGGACCACAGTGCTCTGTAACTTCCGCACCCAATTTTGGCTCTGCTGAGCTGTGGCTTTGCTGCCCTCACCCAGCACTCGGTGTCACTGGTGCCCCTCCTGGGGGTGCATCCTCACTGCCACCTTGCGTGTGACAGCCCCTGAAATCCTGGGATACAGCCTGCAGCGTCCTGAGGAGTCTCTCAGATGGCCAAAAAGCAACCAAGGAGGAGGGTAAGAAAAACTTCCTCCCACCTCTCTTCCCACCTAGTTAATGTGCTGGTCGAAACATGTTCTGCAACATTTTTTCTCTAATAAAAACCCATAACATGCAACATGAAGAATGATTTTTAAGAAAGTGTAGCTGCCATATTTTCTCACTAGCTCTTTTCGGGAGTAGGACAGAGGTCAGATTTCATACAGGTTGGAGTTTATCTCCCATTAATGTACCAGTAAGGTGGAAATCGTGATGTAAACTTTCTAGGCAAGAGTCCAAAGGCTTGTTGCCGTAGCAGGGGATTTCTCTTTCTCCACTACCAGCATGGATATGCCTGAGCAAGAATTTCAAATATATATATACACATATTGAAAAACATGTTTTCTATTACAGATCTCCCATCCAGGATATGGAAACTATACAAGGAAAGGGATAAATTCCTGGCAGTGTGATGCACAGACACAGCACTTAAACATCTTTGTCCCAGGGTAAGTTCTCCCACCCCTAATCTCCTACTAAGCTTTGCACAAGTAACTGCATTTTGTTGGTATGTTATATTCAATAGAACAGTACAAAACAAAGGGAGAAACGTGATTTAACTGTTAATATGCACTATTCCCAAACTGAAATAATGGCAGGTATCGAGCCCAGGTGACCTATATAATGTCACCTATGTGAGTGAACAAGCACAACAGGAATGCACAGAAAGGTGATCCAGCCTCAAAGAGCAGAGCCCAGAAACAGAACCAGTAAAATCACAGCTAGTTCAGACACCCTGTCTTCAGTAAGCAGACATCTAACAGTTCCTGAATTAATGTTTGAGAGTTTTACTATCCAGGAAGGGAAGTGGAAGAACAGGTAGCAGGGGAAGGGGGGAAGCTTCTCAGCAGATTGCATCACCGCGTCCATGGCTGAACGTTAATTGCAACACCGGAGTCAAGTTATCTGATGAAAGCAAGTTTATTTAACAGTCGTAGTTAGCTCACTTGGCTTTGCATCTCTAAGCAGTTAAATTATTAGAAAAAATAAGCTATTATTATACATATAAAAGAATGTATTTCTGATTTTACATTATCAGCAACTCTGCGGCTGTGTTACTTTGGCATTTTGGTCTGTCTGAAGCATGACCCAAAAGAGTCCCAAGCACCCCAACATCCATCTTACACGCTGAAAAATTAAGAATATACTGGAACTTAAATATACATGATGCCAGGAGTTTCACTAACTGCAGTGTTGTTGTTTCTTAACTAATTCTGCAATCTTTCTCTGGGCTCACAGCAATACCATCTTTGGTTTAAAACCAACAGATTTCAGTAGGCTTGGCAACATCCAATGTTATTTTGTCTCAGACTGGGGCAGAGTTGAACTGAAGCAGCAGAGCAGGGCCCACCACACCAGCACTTCTCTGGTAAGGCTATGCAGGGCTGTAGAACACAGACTTGTTACAGAAATACAGTTACATCTCAAGTTCTTGTCACTTCAAAGAGAGCCATTTAAGTTGTGAACCCATGCAAATAGCTTTTCTGTTCGGAGAAAAACATTTCTATTAGGCAAGTAATCCCTTCTAGAATAGATTTTCTAGTCCAATGATAATAATTAAAATGTTGATCTCAGAAAAGATTTCTTGAGTCATCTGATGCTAATGTTTCATGCTGGGAGAACACGTTATTAGTATAGCACGACTCGCTCTCCCAGCTCTAAGCTCTGCATGTCATTAAGTCAGTGAATCTGCCTTCAGACTGGAAGATCTCCTGTTTCACCTTCACCGCTGACAATCCAACCAGTACAACCCATACTGGTCACAGGATGCACTCCACCTACTTGGAAGACTCATTTGTGAGGTTCACAATAAATCAATATTCCAGTGACACTGCAAATATTTAAGAAATATAAAGCTAAAGAAACATTCCCACAGTAAAGAGTAGGAAAGCTGTTTTTTAAGTAAAGTGCAAGTAAACAGCATTACAGAAATGGTACAGTTACAATATATTGAACAAAATATTGAAGCTATTTCATATTTTATGCCCTTTAAAATTTGTTTTGAATTCATATAAAAAGAACAGAAATAGAAGCCAAGATAACACAAAGCTGATCGTGCGTGAAAAACAAGCTTTCTTCTGGCTTAATTAAGGAACAGCTTTGTATACAGGCAGGAATGGGCTGCTCTGTTTTGTTCACTGAAAACCCCAACTAGCACTGCAGGCAGTATCGCATTTGTGTTCACTTTAAAACAAAGCCCTACACTTTTCAGTTTTCACACATAAAAAAAACAGATAACGGCTTTGTCACATTACAACAGTTACAACAAAGGAACAGGATTTCTCCTGACAAACTAAATCAATGTGGTGGTAATTGTACTTAAAAATAACCACTGCTTTTACTTAATTCTCTCATTTACTTTGCCCATAGCATTAATGAATTTAAGAGAGGTTTGTACTTAATACATGGATCTCCATATTCAGGGATTTTGTAGTGCCTATCATAAACCTAGTGATGATTTCAGCTGCACAAGGCAAGAAACCCCACCAAAAGTAGCCTACCAATTAAAGTAAGTCTGTTCCTTTAGCTCAGTCAGCACTCCAACATTAAACTAGAACTGGAGAATGGGACTTGAGCAAATTATGCAGCTTTATGCTGCCTTAAGAGGCATTTACGTCAAAGTTTAAAAATCAACCAGATAAAACCTACCCAAAGATAATGCAGAACTGAAGACTTACATTTTTATGCAACTTTTTTTTTTAATCTTGCAACATAGGCATCTCTTCCAGCTAAGTCAGATTGTATCTGAAAAACTAGAGGGTAATTGAGGAAGTACCTGTATCCTGCTGGTCCCTACCACAGAGAGCACCGGGAGCCCGTTACAGCTCACAGCTGATTTCTTACTGAAAGCTGTGAGACTCCTGCTTCCAGCATGATGAAATCCAACTCGGTCCCTGGGGTGTTGACAGGGACAAGAACGATCACTGGTGCTCTCTGTGGAACATGCCCTACATCAAAGGGTTTGTACCAAGCTCTGCAACATTGAGTGTGGAAACAGATTAAAATAAGATACCAGAACTCATCATGATAGAACTTCAAAACCCACTCTGGAATGTGTGCAGAGGTCAGATAAGCATACAAGAAGTTTCATATGCTTATCAAACCTTCAGCTTTGCATCCTCAAATAGAAAAGGAAAAGCTTAAGCACAGCACATAGAAGCGTTGCAGATCTTAAAAGTTTGCTTGTTTGCAGTTGTGGAATGGGAGAATTCGGCACACTAATGCAGTTCACCCCAGAAACACGCTTACGTTTCTAAGAAATAATCTTCACCTCTTTTCATTTATCAGGCTGATGTGAAAATGGATTTCTAAAGTAGAGTAAACATCTAAGTTTAAAAGACTCATATTTCACCCTACCTCATATATGCTCTTCTTTCTTAGAAGTTAAGACCACCTCTAGGAAACAACATGTTTATAAACAAATTGCAAGCAAAACAAAACAATTTGGGGAGGTATTTATCATGTTGAAGCAGTAAACTGGAGTAGGTGCTGCTCAAAACAAAAGTTTGAGAAGGAGCATTAAATGTGATTGAATGTTTAATGCCTGCTAGGCTTCAAACATGACTTTTATTTGGAAATAGATCACATTTTCTGTCGCAGAAGAGATTTCCTGCACACTCCACCAATGATTTCTTCCAAACTCTGGTGCCGCCCATTATCAGATCACCATCTCACCCTGCATGTGGCATTTCCTATCCACCTGCCTATGCTGAAGTGGTTTTTAATCTGTTTGGTTTTGTTTGCTTTTTTTTAGAGTGATAAATGTAAATTGTTCAGACAAAACCTGTTTGGTGATTTTAGACAAATACTTAATTTTATTTTTATGATTGTATTTAAAACACATCCTTCTGTCAGACACGGGTACATGGCTGTTCAACTCTGGCTGGCGAGTGGCCTGAATGCTGCTTACATTGTCCTTTAAACGACACAGGGTGATTAGCAAATTTTCTTCTAATAGGATTCCTCTCCCCTTTTTATTTATTTTCTTCTCTCAGTTCTCCTGCCCTTTGTGTCACAACACACAGGCTCATTTTGTAGAAACACACAAACATGCAGGAGGGCTGCAGCAACAACTTTCCTTCTCATTTCTGAATGTCTGGGGCTGCTCACCTCTTGGCTCCAGGAAACAAGGGCCTGTTCCTTCTCTCAAAAATTGTTTTAGAGCTCTTCCAACTTTCTGAAGAAGTCCAGTGACTCTATCTACATACTGCTAAGATTGTATATCTTTTTCCATATATATATACATTTTTTTTCAGATAGATACATTCAGCTACTAGTTTAAAATTGGCAGTGAAGAAAAATGGTGTAGATTACTTCACATGTGCATTCTAATGGTCTGTCCCAACAGAAATCTACATTTGCACTTTTATCTTAAAGTTTGGCAGAAATTGATGCAACAGTTACAGTTATCAACTTACAAAACTGCTAAACCGCTTCCTTAAATTTGTTCAAGAGAGCTCTAACATAGGGGACTGGGAGTCAGCTTCAGTTGTACGTTTCAAAAAGCTGCATACAAAAAAAAAAAAAAATCAATAGTTTAAGTTAATGTATCATTGTTTTTATTTTTTAAACAGAAAATCACTATCAAACCTTACAATATACATCTGAGCATGACAGATTGACTGGAACACCGAAAACGTCATTATTCAGTGGTGGCATGAATAGGAATAGGCCGCCTACCGTGCCCTCCAGGAGGGCAAACAGGCCATGCTTCTCTCAGCATCTCTGTAATTATCCCTGGAAATGACTGCCAAGTTCGGGATCTGAGTCACCTCTAGGAAATAAGATACTAGGCTAATTTTGGATACCTTGGAGGAAAGAAAAAAAAACTGCAAAGGAAGAGGCGGAACAGTTGAAGTTTCTTTAATTTTTCAATTAGAGACATAGTGGAAAAATCTCAGGAAGTTTGAGTTATGCTAGATCACCAGAAAAAGAACAGAACTACATCCATCACAGAAGACATTTTTAAACAAAGAACCGCATCCAAACAGGCTGTATTCCCTACGTGCTTACCTCAGGCTCCAGTACGACAAGAAATTCATACCCCTGACTCATTAAAAAAGTCACCCAACAACAGATTCTGCCTTAATTACTGAAAAAATGGAGTACACAGAGCTATTAATCTGAATTATTTAGCTTTCATTACAATTAAACCTCAAAATAGCACCTGACTTTTTAGCAGGGCAAATGTAATTACTTTTTGCTATGCAAAGATCCTATTCCAAAAATGAGCAAAGTGAACTATACTAACCACAAATTGCTGACGAGATCCTCACGACTGTGTAAGAGATGCTACAATGCATACCCAAATCAGAGGGCGGGTGGAAACTTTATTCCTACAGAAGCCCCACCTAGAGACACCCGGCATCCTGCCAGCCAAAACACGCAGTCCGGTGACACAATGCGTCTGGAACGTTTTATTTAAGGAGTAAGAATCTTACAGTATTAGCTGAACCCTTCCAGCAGTACCTAACTCTCTGACATTAACTGCAAAAATACTGTCAGTGCAACTGTAGAGTCACAGCTGCCCCAAAACTCTTCCTGCTCCGCGTGGTTAGCACAGCCAGCCACCACTTGACCTGTGCTGGGGACTGCAGGACTCGGGCTCAGTTTGCAGCTGCATCAGGTTGAGGTTGTGGCTCCTTCTCTACAGGTCTCCCTCACCAAAGCTGGAGATATTTAGGTGATGCAGAAGCTCCTGTCAAACTTCACCTGCTAGGACCAAACGACAGAAGGTGACTGTTGAAAACGTCAAACGTAAACCCTCCAAAGCATTCACCTGTCTTGTCTCCCTCCTCTCTCAGCTCTGAAATGTTCACAGATCATTGCTCAAAAGCTTGAAAAAGCTTCAATTGTGATCAGCAACACAGAGTTTCAGGATAGTGGCTCTATCTCATACTGCCCAGCATTCATGTAGATTACATGCTCTGTGATCTGCACACCAGATCCCAAGCAGGTGTAAAGTTGCAGCACGAGTACATATTCATCCAGGAAGTATTATGCCCATAAGGGAAGTGATTTTAGAGTATTCAGGAATGTATTACAGGAGTAAAAAACACCCACCCACCACCACACAGAACTGTAACTATGCGCATTTTCTCAATTTGCTTTTTCCAGTCTTGGAATTCAGCTGCCCAGACCTATCCCTCTGGGCCTAGAAGGAGCAAAGCAGCTCCCTGGGTTACA